GATATGTAACATTTATCGATTTACGTATTATGATTTTTCAGTTGAAATTTATTAGAGAGATTATCTGAAACTTTTCCCTAATGCAACACCTAGTCCTGTAAAATTGTTGCATTAAAAAAATTTCTAACAATCATCGAAAGGATTATGCATCGATTGGGAGGATAATAGTATCAATTAAGATCAAATCAGGAGGAATAGAAGTAAGAAAAAGCAAAGAAAAAGAAAGAAGGAAAGAGAAAGGAAAAAAAATAAAAGGCGTTGAAATTAAAAATTCTGGCAACAGCCAAACTTGGAGGTCGAAAATTTGTTGCATCTCTTCAGGGATTAACGGTATCCAACAAAGAGAGCAGCAATCAGATAATAAATCTTTACTGCAATAATGTCAAGACCTTAATAGGACTCGTGATGGCATTGATAGGCAACAGAAGAAGACTTTTATGGAATAGAATAGAGACTAGTCAAGGAATGGAAGAAAATGTGAGAAGTTACGTGAAAAAAGTAACCTCTTTCTCAAATGCGAGAACATCTGAAATTTGGAGTGTTCAGAAAAAAAAAAAATGAAATTTCTATCATAAAATAAACAAAATATTAAAAAAACTTTGGAATTGAAGAATCTGATTTTTTTTTTTTTAAGATAAAGATGGGTTTCCAATCAAAGCCATAGTTTTTTTTTTTTTTCAATTATTTTGTCACTTGTCATGCTTAAAAATGGTTTTGCATAGGCTATATTAGGAGGTTACATCATCTCAATCTTCACATCATGATTTCCTGGGATGCTCGATTCTTTTGTAACATTTTTTTCTTCACTAGCAAGGTTGAACTAATACCCAGTCTCTCTCATCTTCAAAATAAACTTCACCAGCTAGTCATTAACAAAACCCTTTCCTTTATCAACGATCATTTCCATTACAGGTCCAAATAATTTTTTCCAAGGAAATTTGTGTCACTTGGGCCATTTTGATTCTAAAAAATAGCCAAGAAATTGGTTAAGTCTTACGAAATGCATATGCAAACATAAATTATGATGGAAAACATTACATAGGACCTGATTGCATAGTACGAATAAACTAGAGGGATCAATGAACAGCAAATAAAAGTTGAAATATTTAAGCAAAAGAGAAAATGATGACCAAAAAGGAAATCCAATTGCAAACTAAAAAATTAAACAAAAATTAATGGTTGACTTGTCATGAAGAAAATAATAATTGTATAACATTAATGAGACACAGAACTAACAGGTCTGATGACGTTGCAACAGGTCTGAAGCCGCGAAATACATTATCTTCCTGCCGATCCTCCAACAACTTGATTCTTTCAAATAGGACACTCTTTGAGAGTTTTTTCTTTGATCTCACCTAACGATAGTAAGATCACATTCAACAAAAATAAAAGCAAAAAAATCATAAAATCAAGATTATTGGATCAATGAGTTTCCAATAATAAAAAGGCCGCATTGAAATCTGATGGTTTTAGTTGGAAGTGAACAGCTAGTATTTATTCCAATCTTTTAAAACGTAAGAACAAATTGACATTTCAACAAGAAGAATCCATATATATGCACAAAGAAAAAAAATAACTATAATTTAATCACCAAAAATTGTAGAAAATGAGTAGATTTCATTGTAAAAGTAATAACTCACATTTATAAATATAAAGACAAGCATGCCACCCTTCTAGACAGCATGCAGATTGAATAGTGCTTCTCAATAAAAATTATCTTCGGGTAAAATATACACAATAAGATATCAATAAATAGACAGCAGTCCTAGCAAATTACACCATTTCTGACATTGGATGAAAGAAACTTCTTTCCCAAAAAAATGTTTCTCTCTAAACTTCTAAATACAAAATGTACAAATGAAGAGATGCTATCTTACCTTTTGATTCATGGATTCAATAAGTAGTGTTTTATGAACAGAAGGAAATATTACGTCAACATAGTCCTCAAGCCTCCCTTTGGAATGATAGATCTTTGCAAGTTGAATCTTAACTTTCTCACTATGCCACCATGGTTCAGAGAGTGTAGATGAAACATCAGCTATCGTATCTGCAGATTTAAAGTAATCATTAGAGAGTTCAGTAGTGCCAGACAAACTAAGATCTCCCAATTTTTCCCAGAGCAAATCATGTCTTAGTTCTTGGGGCATTTTTCACTCCTACAAACTAAGAGATGCAACAAGGCTCCTTGAAAGCATTTTTTATCTTTATTCATTTATTCATTTATTTATTTATTTAAGAGCGGTTGAGCATTTCCCTTGAGAAATAGTGCCAATAATTGTTAAAGAAGTTAATTAAAAGAGAAATGATCAAGCCAGATAAAATAGGCCTTACTTGAGCACTTTAAAGGTGACAATAGTGAGATTGCTTCATCTTCCATTCCTTCATCTATAAGAAGTGTTGACAGAGTTATACGGGCATCAATATCATCTTCCTGTTTAGCTAAAGCTGCCAAAGTATGTAGGTTAAGGTTCAGCCAATGAAGACAACAGTGAAAAAGACTTGGCCATAACAAAAAATTGAAAAATGAAAAGCTTCAAGCTTAATTTACCCATAAAAATGATTTGAAAATTAAAATATAACTAATGCGGGCTATTATTATTATTATTATTATTATTATTATTATTATTATTATTATATACTAAAATATAGATGTATGTATGTGCATATATATATTTTAAAAAAAAAAGGAAATTGATATTTGGCAAAGGCCCAAATATCTATTTCCCATGCCCATCAAGGCCTCGTGATGAGAGCCCACGCAATGTGCCTAACTATTCAAGAACCCCGAGCCACGGATCGAACTCGTGACCTGAGGGAACTTACAGTGAACCCCGCCAACCAACAGGCCACGGCTTGCGGCACAAGTATGTTGTGTGTGTGGGGATATATATATATATATATATATATATAGAGAGAGAGAGAGAGAGAGAGATAGATAGATACATACATACATACATATGTAAGTAATAATAACTTCCAAGAAATTTGATAAAAATGAGGTCATCCCACTTACAAAAAATTTCTAGCTCATGTTATCCACCTATTGTAACCAATGAACATAAAATAATCATAGCTTCCTAACCATATAACCAATTGACCTAAAATCATTTTCATTGGTTAGCTAAAATCACAAATCATGGATCTACAGTTAAAGAAAATCTGAGCATCCACGGCCAGAATATTTCAATAAAAAAATTATCTAATAACCTTTACCTTTTCGATCTCGTCCCTCATCCTTCCACTAAACTCAAATCTTACACCACCACTACACCAACCCACCTTCATCACAGTGAATTATTTTGTGTAAGTGTATCGAAAAATGAAATCAAAATTAAAAAAAAAAAAACTAAAATTTTAGACCCATGATCAAAGGTGATCTTGTAATCAAACACAATGTGAGAAATACAGTCGCGCTGAAACCATATGGAATTGAAGATTACTAAGTTGCCATTTTTCTGATTAATTGTTTATATACAAACCAAAGCAAGTTAGTACAAACTCCTTAAAAGCATGCTAGTGAAAGCATATCCTCATTAAATGACATAAAATAAATAAAAAATTTTAGCTTTAGCAAAACTATCAAATACTTGCTGGATTTCTCTTCTACACTAGATAACAATGTAAAACATAAGTGGATTCCTACCTCTACTAGCCTGAAAACTAGTACAATGTTTTCATAATTTGGAAAAATAGAGTTAGCACATCATCTAGGTTTGAATTCCACGAACTACATATAAACCCAATTCCATCAACTCTAAATCATCTAAAGCAACTTACCTTTATAGTAGAACGGAATTGCTTTGCTCCGTTCACTTAACAATGAGTAGCATTGTCCAATTTTTAGATAAATGATCGCCGCCTGAAAATGAATTTGCAGAGAATTTAGAAACAAAATTATATGTATATATGCGCCAAAAGAATGCATTTATAGACATGTATTTAGGACTATGGCAAAGAAGACAAAATAAAAGGCTCAAAATCACACAGGTTTTAATTTTTGCATGCTAGAAATATTATAATCGATGGAGTAAACAGTGGTCATCTTGCTGATTTCAAATCAAACATAGTTCATCTTCAGCAGAAATTCATTAGTTAGGTGAATAGATTCATAATCACACAGGTTTTTTTTTTTTTTTTTTGCGTGCTAGAAATATTATAATCAATGGAGTAAACAGTGGTCATCTTGCTGATTTCAAAATCAAACATAGTTCATCTTCACCATAAATTCAATAGTTATGTGAGTAGATTCTTTTTTTTTTTTGCAACAGAACTTTACTGTTATGTATTTTTTCAACGTCTGCTCCATCTATGAGAAAGAAAAGTTTTAAAACTTGGTCTAAATTTCAGCGCCAACATAAATGTTTCTGTTTCGGTAGTTCAAAGTGTTGTACACTTTGTAGTTCAATTTTAAATATGAATTTGGTAATTTTGTATTACAGAATACTGCAAAAAAAAAAACATTAAAGATGAAAATTATCTCACATGAATATCAGTAGGTCAGTGGCAGTCAAAACCATGTGTTAAAGTACTTCTAAGAAAGTGCCCACTTCGCGTGCAGTAGCCACCTGAAGACGAAGCGAAGCAGGGAGTCATCACATCGCGCCACTTCACATGCAAAGCACGCTTCGGAGTGCACTTCTAATTTCACTTTCATAACCAAACTAAAACCATAGAAGGTTTAAACAAAGATCTTTGCTCAACTAAACCAAATCACACGAGCTGCTAAGTTGCATCAAAATTGAAAACATTTTCTTTGCTTTCCTGCAGTTTTGTTGTCCTCCGAGGTCTAACATTATTCATTTAGAAATCATAAAATAAAATCAAAAGATAATTCATGCACTATTTTAGGTATCTATGATCAACCTAAGAAAAATATTATGGGTCCTTTTCCTTTGAAATGATCTAGGAATAGGAGCTATAGCGACTTCTGCAATTGCTCAAGCAGTTATCTTCTGCAATTGCTCAAGCAGTTATGCCGGAGCACTCATCCCAAGCATTAATAAAACTCCAATATCCAGCACTACCTCCGTCACAACTTTTAACAATTACCCAACAAAGCTCAAAAATTCTCTTCTTCACCTTTTCCAATTTATGCACTTCCCTGTTTCAGCTAGCTATTGTTCTGGAAGTAGTTTCTAGAACTCCATAGCTTCTATTAGTATTCTCTTCTTGATGCCCCTTAAACAAATGCCAGTAAGTTTCAAAACAATCATATATTTCATATAGAAATTGACAATCAACCCAAGAAAAATTGAAGATTTGAAGTTAGAATATGCATGCTAGGGCGGATAACATCCTCTTTGGTGAGTGATGAGTTATGGTTATGTGAAGTGACTGTCTGTCTAAGTTATCAGCCTAATTATTGTACTATTGGGACATCTTCAATTACCCAGCATTCTCCAAAATTTTCCCATAGATTTCAATAAATGCTTATTTTTCGCCATCCATGCTACTCAACCCAAATGCAATGGATGAGAGTAGTTTAATAAACTTAACAACAATTTACTGTCTATCAATAAACTTACTCGTGACCTGCATTGTGTAACTAAATTCTACCCTAATTTGTGTGAATTTTAAGTGATGGACTTGAGGAAGGTGATTGGAAGTGTTGATATGTATTATGAACTTTATCTACTAACTAGGATTCCCACTTCGAAAGGATGCTCCCACCATTCACAATCAATAAGTCAAGCCTTATATCTGAGTCTGCTTCTTATGAGAGTCAAGTTATGTTATGACATTTGCGCCTTAGACATCCTAATTTCTATTCTATTAAAAATTATATTCTCATTTGTTTATCAACAAATAATCTAATTCTTATTAGTATGAAATTTGTCAACATGTTATACATACTAGATAAGCATACTAGAACTTGAGTTGTCAACATGTTATACATACTAGATAAGCATACTAGAACTTGAGATACAAACCAACACATCCCTTCTCCATGGTTCACAAAGATATCTGAAGACCCACAAAAATAAAAAAATACAAATGAAACTAGATGGTTTGTCACCTTCAACGATAATCACACCAAAACCAATTGGACATTTCTCATGAAAAAAAAATCTGAAACTTCCACAACATGATCCTCGCCCATTTTCAAAGAAAAACTTGGATTCTCAAAACCGATATTACAATTCCACTCTCCACCCTTATCTATTCAAAAATGACATCATTCATAGGTTTTTGTGTAGACACACCACAATAAAATGGTGTGGTTGAGAGAAAGAAAAGACATCTTCTCGAGATGACCCGTTCAATTCAATTCACTAACAATGCACCCAAACACTTATAGGGAGAAGCAATTCTCACATCCAATTATCTCATATAAATAGAATGTCCTGCAGAGTGTTAAACTTTGTCTAACCTCTCGACACCCTCAAAAAATCTTACCCCCACATTCAGTCTTTCACCACTAAAGTAACACTATGAATTTTTAGTTGCGATGCTTTTGTTCATCCACATCAATCACATAGACCAAACTTGATCCTAGGCCATCTTTGTGGGCTGCTCTTCAAACAAAAAAGACTACAAAACTCCCCAGAAACACAAAAATTCTACAATTCCATGGATGTCCCCTTTTTTTTTAAAACCAACCCTATTATCACAAATCTAACATTTAGGGGGAGAATTGGTGAAAATATCAAATTTGGGATAATATTCAGAAACCTCAAGCTCACATCACTTGTATACTAGATGAACCCACCCATGTCCTCACTATCACAAATCAACCTGAAAATGAACATACAACTCCACTAAAATCTCCCACATCTCCCACTAAGAACCAAAAACTCTATGTGTACTACAGAAAGAAAAAACCTAGTGGGTATGTAAAGGACAATATGCAATATCAGAAATACAAATCACCAAAACCAACTCCGCACACACCAATTATTAAGTTAGGTCAACACGTCATGAAAACCAAGAGGAAGAATGAGCATAAGATTCACAAAATACACGGTAGAATAATTTGTGACCGTTGAAAAATTATCCTCTTACAAAGTTTGTTCAAAATAGATAATTTGCAGGTTCCAAATTCAATTTAAGAGGCATTATCTATTCCTGCTTGGAAAAATATTGTGGAAGAATATATTCTTGCCCTTAAAAAAGAATGGTATGTGGATCATAACAATTGTACCACCTAGGAAAAGAATTGTAGGGTGCAAATGAGTATTTAATGTTAAATACAAAGCAGATGAGTGCATAGAAAGTTTTGTTAGTTATGGAGCCTGATTGTTAGTAAACAATGTCTTAAGAAAAGAAATTAGCATCTCCTAAATCAAGGGGGCGAATCGGGTTCCCCTGTGTCTTGGAGCAACGCAAAGGCGTTACAATAGGGTGCCCCTATGCCAGTACAGGCGCCCCAACACCTAAACAGAAGTTGTTGCGCCCAGCCAGGCTTGTTTCTAGTTTCTAAAATTGAGTGCCGGAAAAATCGACACCAGCCGGGGGCACCTAGGCGCCTACAATAGAATTTCTACAGTTTGAGATTTAAATCTTCTTTTTACCCTGCGGAGATGAAGCGAGCAAAAGAGCGAATGCGCATTGAAGTTGGATTTCACGAGTTCTCGTGCAACATAGAGAAAGGAGTGTTCCTGAGTTCCAGGATTATAAAGAGACTTAAGTGTGGTGTAATTTATATTATTTCTCCTCTTTTTATAGTAGATTTATTGATGGTTTCGTGAATTTTTTTCTCATTCCCAAGTTTTTTTCAAGTTAAATCTTGGCATTCTTTGTATTTTCTGTGTTTCCTTATTTGTGTGCATTTGTTCATAGTTTTACTTTGAATCTCTAAAATTGACGTTTTCACTGTTTTCGATTTCCAAAACAATAAGGTTCAAGTCTAGACTTATAGCAAAAGGGTTCACTTAGTCCTATGGAATTGAGTACTAAGAAAAATTTGCACCAATGGCGAAACTCAACACAGTAAGAGTATTACTGTCAATGGCTTTCAACCAAGACTGGCCTTTACATCAGCTAGACATCAATAATGCATTTTTTAATGGGGATCTTGAGGAAAAAATGCATATGGAGATACCTCTAGGATTAAAGAACAGCAAGAATAATTAGCTAGTGTGCCAACTAAAAAAAAAATATTGCATGGGTTAAAACAATCTCCCAAAGGATGGTTGGAAACATTCACCAAGATTATTTTTGCTAATGGGTGCTATCAGCGTCAAGATGATCATGCTTTCTTTATGAAATCAAATCTAGACGAGAATGAACGTCATCCTTATTATAAATGTATATAACATAATTTTTGCAGGCAATGATATAAGGAAACTTCAAATAATCAAAAGAATGATGACTCCTGAGTTTGAGATCAAAGATCTTGGAACTTTAAGAAACTTCCTGAGAATGCAAGTAGCTATATCCAAAGAAGGCATTGCATATCCCAGAGAAAATATATCCTTGATTTATTAAAGAAGATAAGAATGTTGGGGTGCAAACCAACATATACTCCTATGGATTCCAATCCGACGAGCATCAAAAGAACAGGATAACACGCCAGTTGAAAAATTAGTTGTCAAAAACTTGTGAAGAAGCTTATTTATTTATCTATCACATACAATATCATTGTTTTTTATATGAGTGTAATGAGCCAACATATGAACGATGCAAAAGAAGATCATTCTGAAGCGGTTTTTCGAATCCTGAAGTACCTAAAGATGACTCCTGAACACAAATTGATATTCAAGAAAACTGAGAACCATAATATTTAGATCTACAAAAATGCTAGCTAGATAGGAGAACTGATTGATAGAAGATCTACCATGAGTTAATGTTCATTTGTATTGAGTAATTTGGTTACTTGGAGAAATAAAAAGTAAGCTTAGAGTTAAAACTAGTGCAAAA